CCACCTACACTGCTTCTCCGACTCTAAGGACCCCAGAGACCACACCCCACTCCCCATTTCAGCACACAGTTCACTGGCCACTCCTGGATCCAACAGGATGGCTTTGTTTACTCGACAGGTGGGGGTGGGGACACCTCAAACTCTTCCCCCTGTTAAACTCCCTTCCTCCACCCAAACGTCATACACACACTCAAGTACAGCCTGAGTGTATGCAAGCGTTCAGTCACAGAAGAGTTGGGCTTCGGCTTTTCTGGATTTAATTTACTTTAAGACCAACAGTTAGGCAGGTAGCAACAAGCGCAGAGTCCCGCCCAGGGCATTGAACACCCAGCTTAACTGAAGCTGATCGGCACACCTACATTCCTGAAGCTTGACTGACTGACTGCAGTGGAAGAAATGGACAAATACCACTTGACTCTGGAAAACAAATCAATAGGTATCCTTGGTAACGTGTCATGAGAGAATACAAACAGACAAGAGATTAACAAGTCTGACCTCAGCCCCTTCATGAGTCTCAAATTAACATGAAAATTAAAACAAAAGAAATGTTTTGCTGGTTCAAAAGTTGCGAATATATACATGACATGTGCAACTTGACATCGGGGGGAGTTATTAGGTTGTCACAGACGACTAATTAGGTCTCTTTGAAAAGGTGTGAAATTGGAGCTTGACGCACAAAACGCAGCAAATCACAGCCATTAATTCAGATAGTTACAAATATTTGCCTCTCTGCCTGCTCTTCCAGGCAACTGGACAAACACACTTCACTGTCAGAGTTAACCTTTAAACACAGCGCTTAAGTCGTTTGCTCCTCTCCCCATCATTACAGTATGTAAGCCCTCTTAATTTAGCATTGCGAGACTGCCAAATGCATCCCCATTACAGCCACTAACTGCTTTAATGCTACTTCTTTAAGCTGCGTCTCTGAGAGACCAATAAGCAGGCCTGGGTCAGGATAACACAGAGATAGCACGGGGACTGTGTTATGCCACAGCCGCCCCTCTGTAAAACAAACTGTTATCATGTGTTCTTTGCAGTCACTGGTGATTTCACTTCACCTACTTTTTGACTGAACTACAAAAACCTCAAAGAAGGCAAAGTAATTGCTGTGCATGTGCACACGAACTGAGGTTCACACATGAAAAACACTGGAGAAATAAAATACCCGAAATAGAAATTCCAAAAGGACTCTTTGGACTTTTTTTGAATGCCATCCAAACTCACAATTCCCCCACATGTTTTTCATTTGCTTGGCCTAAAAAAAGTGCACTTCCTTATTTCTCTCGAGCTGTAACTTTCTGTGCAGTGAGCAAGAGGGGGTATATAAAATGGAGCACTGAGCTGAGAAATAAATCAGCAGTCTTGCAGGTCTTACCTTGACCTTTGTGGGAGTCAATGCCTGCCAGAGTCTCTATGGTGACAGGCTGTGACTTATTATTCCCAGTCTGGGGATATTGACCACTGTCTTTGCTTTGGGACTGCTGAATTTCACTTTTGCCACTGCTTGGCTGGTCTTTCCTCCTGAAACGGTTTGCTATGAGCTGCCATATACTTTGTTCTTCCTGAACTGGTTTGGAAGTCAGTTTTGGTGGATGGAGGGGTACCTCCATTACCTTGACCTTCCCCCTGCTGTGATACTGAATGTACTGCATGCCTCCATCTTCCGTCTGATCACTGGAAGTTGAAATCTTTCTTCCTGTGAGGTACGAGAAGGGTTGAGGAGGCATTGTTGCCTCTTCAGCAGTGCTTTTAGTCTGAGAGTACTCCTTTGACTCTACCCCAGGACCCAAATCCCTAGGACGAGTCCTCCTGATTCGCAGACTAAAACTCCGTCTTAAAGAGCTCAGTGTACTTCTTGAAGTATCAGATTTGTTGTTTTTGGGGGAAATTTTAGCATCTTTGTCATTTTGCTTTTCCTTGTTCTTCTCTTGAGAGGTTTTGCCAAACAGTTTCCATCGTAAGCCTCCTTTGAAAAATCCCTCTCCTTCGCCACCTCTGTGGCTGCCACTCCTCTCGCTGTTTATCTCATCATCAGAGCCCCTCTTTTTTAGTTCCAGTACTGTCATACTGACGGGCCTGGGCTTCCAGCTCCTCTGGCGGACCCTAAGGTTCACCTCCGCAGGGCCTGATGGCCGTTGAGCCACAACAGGATTGAGGCCATCCACTGCTCTTAGCTCAGCCTTCCTGCTCCTGTGCTGGTGGCTGTCTAAACTTCCTGTCCATTTGCAGGATTCCTGGGCTTGGGGCTCTGGCAGAACTGCGACTGCGCCTGGAAGCATGCAAACGCTCCTGGGCCTTAGCAGCCGTCGTTCTTGTTCGGGCTGACGATCTCTTTGGACCTTGACCGGACCGTCATACATGCTCATCGTCCTTCTGCCGAGCAGGGCTTCATCCTGATGTGACCTTCGTAGCAGGGCCCAAGGCAGAGACCTTCTTCCTGGTGCACTGTCATGATTCCCATGAACAAGTCCTTTAGCCTGGATGGTGGCAGAGCACGATGTTGAGCTCTGAATGAGCTGCTCCTTGGCGTCTGGTTGAGCTGTTAGCTCTACCACTTCTCTGTGTTGTTGTAAGGAGTTTCCTGTGTATTTTGAAGGTGGTTTAAAAAACTTGTCTGTCTTCATTTTTCCCGCAATCACCTCCTCCAACTCCTCCTCATCCTCCTCCACCACTACCTCCTCTCTATGCCTCCCGGCGCTACTGAGGGAGAGCCACCTGCTGAGCTCGTGCTGTGCCTTGCCCAACCTCGGGCTTTTCTCCATTTGGACTATACAAGTCATTTCTCCATTTGGCTGACAATTCCCAACCAGGGTGTGAGTGACCTGGCCCATTTCCAGCTCTGACACCGGTACATCTGTATGCGTTTCTTTCACGATTACAGAGACTTGGTATACAGTTATCTCCTGCTGCTGCTGTTCTATAGCTGTACTCCTTGGGGTCACATCCACGTTCCCACTGCTAAGGAAAAGCATCACACTTCATTCAGACGGATTCACACAATCATCCTCATTAACACACTGAAACCAGTGTGTTACATTCTGCCAGAGAGTTGAGATTCAGCTCATGAAGTCCTTCATTTGAAGACTAAATTCCTCTGCCAGGTATAATCTTTCACCTTTGACATGAGGAAAGAAAAAAAACCAACTTCAAACAAGTTAGTTCAAAGCCTCACTGCCACCTGCATCCTCTGGCTCCTTTCCTCAGCAGAATCAAACAGGCATTTAGATGGTAGCTGCTTTTTGCTCCGCTCTATTCTACCTGTCTCGAGCAAGTAGATGCACAGAAGAAAAACAAAACTTTAACTGCTGATTTTGCAACAAAGGCATATCTGTAACAGACACAAAAGTTACAGCTCAAAAAAACTGAATCATCCTTCTTCTTTGGCAAGTTGCAAACTGCGAGCAATCCCTGTTGTTGGCGGTGCAGAGAAACCCCTTAATCTCTGAGCTCTTGCCATGTAGAGCATGAGGGAGTGTGTCTCTGTTTGAACTTTCAGCTGCCTTCCAACCCCCGGGACACATGGAAAACAAGGAGTGGATCCCAAGGACACTGAACACGCCCTCATGATTTCACCAGAGTTGCTAACAGCCCCCGGAGGTATAAACAGACAAAAGTGAACACACAGGATCGAGATAAGACTCTGCTGATTACACACTGATATATACAGAATACAAGCCACAAGAAACAGCCATAAGTGGGCATTTTATTTGGATTGACCAATGGTAGAAGAAAATAATAAACTATAAACTTTCTCGTATTTATTTAGACACTTGACTGATTCATCTAAACACATCAGCTTTGGGGATACGCTGCTTAGGTTTTAAACACTTTTACGGGGACGCAGAAGTCAAAATGTCTCCCTCGCTCCAGGATCTATGAGAATACTAATGCAGCACAGCCACGGAGTAACATGGGAGTACCCACACAACCACACACCAACCTTCCAGTGGCTCCCACTATACAGCCTACACTCAATGGGAGAGCTTAACTTAATTCCAAGATTGGCTGACAGCTATTTTTGTTGAGGAACTTATTCTTTTTAAAGCACTAATGGTTACCATGGCAGAAAGCAGTACATTGGACATTATGTAAAATGGCATTCTCTGAATCTAAACATAATTACACATTCACTGCGTGGGCAGTCCTGCATCTAACTTCATTGAGAAAATTAGCACATTGAGCTACTGAGAATGCTGGCATTCGATTAAATGCAGAGAATAAAAAGACTGAGCAGCCTTACGTGGCCTATTCAATCTTCTGGTGCATTAGTGCAGCGTAATGGGCAGAGCTCATTTAGACAGCCATGCACCACAAAGAATCAAGGCAGATTTTACCCCCACAACTCTGCAGCACCCAGTGTGGTTAAGACTGGAACACTGCCCCTTTGTGGTCAACAAGAGAAAGCACACTGGAAGGGAAAATGTTCACTGGGCATGTACTGTTATCGGCTGGATAACCATTCAAAGCTGGTGTGATTTGCCTGGACAAAAAACATATATCTAAAACAGATGCATAATCAGAAGTTAACAACACTGCTTATGAGGAAAGAAGAATAACAACAACAACAACAACAACAAGTGGCCATTCCTTGAGTGCATCACTGTGGGGAAACCAGAATAACCGGGAGGCAGAAAGTTACAGCCCAACTGCTGCAGTGTGTGCCAAACGCTAAATCTCAACAGCATTTGACTTGAACTGATTTTGTTTTTTCATAACGTCTCCCTAAAGTCCTCCAATTGCTATTGCCGTTGTGTGCCATCTACAGTACGTGTGATATTCCTGATATTTGAAGTGTTTCTTGGCACATTTCTTTCTCCCTTATGTCTCTTTATCAACTGACTCAGCGGTGTTAGAATGAAAACAATCAAAAGCATTTTAGATATTGTTACAGGAAACTCTAACCAAGCGCATGCACCGTCAGAAAAATCTGAAGTGAGCGAGTACAGCAGCAAAGTTGAATCCCATATCAGGCTGTCAGAGGTTGTAATTTCGGCCTTTACCTGTGTCTAGGAAGCAGGGGTTTGAAAGGATGTGGGTCTCATCGTCGAGTAAACGGTCCTTTTCACTCCACTGGATCTCGTGCCGGTCTCGAGTTTGCTTGCGACTCCCGAAGCACATCAACATATTCTAGCTATAACCTCAGGGGCACTTTTCCGTGATATAACCAAAAAGAAACAAAGATATTTAGGTGCCTGAATCCACGTTCAGATTATTGATCATCTTTGATTCATTGCGCCACTCCTGGGTTTTTATCTTCCTTTGCTTCTTTCAGACATTCCTGTTGACATCTGCAGCTCAGTTAGTCCCCAGTTTTTTTCTGTCCAGTATAGAAACCAAAAAAAAAACTATTTTGTCATTTCTGGCACGCACTCCATGCCAGCCTGATATTGTGGTAACAAGCAGAAGCCGGAGCGGCTAATGGACAGTCCGAGGAGGCGGCCCAGAAAGGCCATGTGGTATCGCTCCTTTTGAGTTCTTTCCTTAATGCAGGTGTTGGTTAGCAGGGTCCTACATAGGAAGTCCTGATAGGATTAAAGTTAATCCACTATCCTGTTGTCTTTGTTGTGGTCCCGTCCAAAGGAAACCTGTGCTGCGGTAAATCCTGGCATTTCAAAGTGCTGACCAGGTAACAGAGCCTCTCTTGTGTTTAACCCTGTCCTGCAGCTAAATATTTCTCCGTCTTGAAACTGTATCTTGATGGAAGGTGGAGGGAAAACCTTTTCTGAAAAACTGGATTGGCATGTTCTGAGGTTTCAGAATTACCCTCTGCGTCTGTATCTCCCTGTGTGTATGTGTACACATCTGCCTGATTGTAAGCGGAGGTCATACTGTGTGTGTTGGCCGTTTATCTCATTTCTGTGCGTCACCTTGTCAAACACAGGCGTAGCTGTTTTGCCAACACCCCGACCTGAGTTTCTCTTTCAATTTTTCTTAGGCTACATTCCTTAGTCGTTCAGCAACAGAAAGGTACGCTCTGTGCTTTTGCAAGACAATTTTCTCGCCATGCGATTATTATCTCACCTATAAGCTACGTTTGGAATCTTTCTTTGTCAGGTTAACATCCCAAAAAACCCCTTTGGTACTTTTCCAGCATCCCATAAGACGACATTATATTTTAAATGTGTCACAAATACAGCGTGCACATCATCTCTACAGTACTTTCATTTTTGTTATTATGGCGGCATCAGAATTTAATTCAAAGCAGGGATCATTTTAAAATTTGACTGGACAATCTCGTCAAATCCCTAATTAGACTGCCTGTTGGGGTTTTCGCCTTCACTTTCTAATCGAATTCAATCAAGGCTTTTGCCAGTCAGCAGTATTTCTCTTCATATTAGATCATTTGACACAATATACCACATTTCCAGTGGGGGGCAGTCACGTCGCTAAGGAATTGCATCCTAATTATAACATTATATCAGTTACATTAAAATAACAAAGTATTTCATAACACAAAGAAAACTTTCAAAACTAAGAAGCTTCACTCAGACTGGTCTCTGTGGCCCTGTAAGCCCGGGGTAACTAAGAGGCTGAATTGGGAAGGCCTTTTTTGTTTTTTTTACAGTAACATCACTTATCTGGAAGACTCAAGCAGTTTTGGGGCTTGTGATGATGTCTGGATAACCATTAGCTGGAAACACACACAGACTCACACACACATAACGGAAATGTCTCAACAGCAGACATAGCAGACAGTCAGAACTAGTGTGTTTATATAAGACGCAGACACTATGTGCGACAAACACTGGTGCTGTCTAGCAGATTGCATGATGCATTCAAGCCACATGAGTAAAGCTTACTAACTCCTCGTCAGTATTAGAACATGAGTCAGTGTGAGGAAGACGGCCGCGTACATATGTAAACTCCTTGGCGGAGACGGTTTGCTTCCTCCGGCAAACAGGGTGACAGGAAGAGAGACTGAAGGCGGCCTCCCGACTTATTATAATTAGCACTCGGCAGGTAGGAGGCTGTAGCCCAACTCTTCTCGAATATGGTTTTTTGCTGACCTCATTCACACATCAGCACAGCTCAAGCCTCAGGCATCCGGTATTCTCCAGCATTACGTATGAGGGGAGAAAGGAGAAAAAAAACAAAACTCCAGTGTTGTTTGCTTTCTAAAAAACACAAATACATTTATTCAGAACTTTTCAAACTGAGCTCTGTGTGACAAATTGGTGGCAAAGTTTGCCACAGTGACTAACAAGCTTTAATGAGAACAGAAATGTTCATGACTTTTCATAGGTGTTGATGTCACGCTTTAAATATAGCCTCGTGTGAACATGTGAATGTAATATATTGCTCAGGAAGCGCAGCATGGAGAAACAGGAGAAAATTACTCAGAGCTATCAGAAATACCCCTTGATTGAAGAGATGTTTGCCCTCACTGGAGAGAGTCAGGTACTGTGATTATCATCATCATCATCATCATCATCATCATCATCATCATGACAGACGAAACACAGGAGCTCGGAATTGCTAATTGACCTCATGCAAGACTGCCTGAGGCTCTAATAACAAAGGAATCCTGGTGGCATCTTCTGGATTTCCAAAAAATGCAAGAAAAAGTGCTGTGCTCTTTTGATAGAGAAAAGGGAGAAGGTTGGGGTGTAGTTTGGGTTAATACAAAAAACAATTCTCAGAGCACTCGTCAGAATAACGCCATCACCGGACACTTTATTAGGTACACCTCACAAATAGGGAGGACTCCTGTTTTGCCTTCAGAACTGCTTTACTTCTTCATGGCATAAATCCTGGAAACACTCGTCAGACATTCTGATCATATCAACATGATAGCTTCCCACAGTTGCTTCAGATTTGTCAGTAGTACATCCCTAAGATGCTCCATTGGCTTGAGATCTGATGTCTGTGGAAGCCATTTGAGTACATCGAACTCATCGTTATGTTTAAGAAACTTGTTTGAGATCATTCGAGTTTTGTGACACTGCGGTTTATCCTGACCAGAAGCAGCCATGAGAAAATGGGTACACTGTGGTCATAAAGGGATGGACATGATCAGCAACAATACTCAGGTAGACTGTGGTGGTGAAAAGATGCTCATTTGGTACTAAGGGGCCAAAAGTGCACCAGGAGAATATCCCCACACCATTACACCACCAGCCTGAACCATTGATACAAAGCAGGATGGATCCATGCTTTCATGCTATTTAATTGTGACCCCACCATCTGAATGACACAATGAGATCCATCAGGCCAAACAACAAATTTGTAATCTGTCATTTTCCAATTTTGGTGAGCTCATGTAAACTGCTGCCTCGGTTTCCTATTCTTTGCTGACAGAAGTGGAACCCGTGTGGCTTCCTTCAAGATCTTAGTGATAACTGTATTCAAATCAGCTTAGCTGAAGCTTTAGCATTTAAACGTAACGTGCTGCCAGTTGACCTGGTTCAGAAAAAAGAAAAAAAAGACTGAACATGGCAAGACTGGTTGGAACAGTTTCCAAGCGACCACTTGTTTTAAAAAATATAAGGCTGAACAAGGATTTATTAAAACATGGGAAACTTAAGGTTGATAACACCAATTTTAATCTTTAATAAAATTGGATGATTGCATTTTAAACTATGTAGCTCCTTAAGCGTATACACAGGGCAGACAAAGCATGTAAACCTGAACTGAACTCTGCGCCTGTAAGGTGAATCTTCTGTAATATTACAGAAGCAGAAACCAGAAATGCAGTACATAGCGACTGAAGTCAATTGTCTTTAAATTCCCTGGCTGACTCTCAAGTAAACCAACCCATTAATTGTCTGCGTTTAAAATCTGGGCTTTACCTCAGTGATCATGAAAACAAGATTTTAGCTGGCAAGAATGTGTCAGTAAAAACAAGCAATTTTGTTGGTTTTAACCTGGAGCTTTAGGTGGAGATGAGAAATGAGAACAGGTTCCAAATTGCCCAATCCTTCAAAATTATGTCCTTCCAAGCTTATCAGCTCCGTTAATCATCACTGGCATGATTTCCAGACAGTTGCATATTGCAAAATAATGATGCCAAACTCATAGCAGTCAGTTTTCACACAGCTGCACATCTTTCTTTCTACTGTTTCCACGCTGTATTTAGATCTAGAGATAATAACAGTTGTGCTAACACTAAAAAAAACCTCTGTAGACCCAATTTTGCTCTACACAGACCAGGAGTCAGTAGGGCAACTGGGGGAGAAAATGGGAACTATATCAGTAACATCTCACATATATAACCTTTACTGGCTATGCAAAACTCACTACTATATGAGATTTACAGAGCAATCAAATAATCTGGAAAGCAATCAGGAGATAATAAAGCCTTGCGATCACAGGAATCAGTATCCAGGGAAGGTATGGGGGGATTTATTCAAGCATGAGTGAAAATGAAAACCAGTAATCATAGTGTAACTGTTATTTTTAAGATTGCTTCGGTGCATGCTCTCACATTCTTTTAATACAACGGATCTTTTTAATACAGAAGTATTTCCTGACTGATTATGCCACTCTTGCACAAGGACAAGTAAGCGAAACCGAAAAATTAAATGAAAAAAATCTGTCCCTCGAATTAATTATTGCCTTAACAGTCTTAAGGGGGAATTATTCTGGAGTGTGAATATTCAGGTCTCTGTGTGGCACATTCAGCACTCGGTGGCTTCCCTCAAAAACCACAAATAAGATCTGCAAATCCTCAACAAACATCTGCAGAACATCTAATAAAACCTACACAGAAACACAGGTGAATACTGCATACAGCTCAGGACTAAAACAACGTGTTCCTCCCCTAAAAAAATATTGTGCAACAGTATTTATTCCCAAGCGAGAATCAGCCACGGACACAATGTAAACAAACAGTTTGAGAGGGATATAAGCCGATCTGTGCACGTAAAAACACACAAACCTCCGGGCACAAGAAAAAAAACATATATATATATATATATATTATATGCAAACAAGCGCTTCGCCCAGGTGATTACACAGTGCTGCTAATTACACAATGACCTGCCAATTTTGAAAAAGACATAAATTTACCAGACCACTTTCACCCCACCACTCCTCTTTTCCCCACATCGATGCTGAATTAATATCTGCAAATGAATTAAGTCAGGAGAATCACACACAGAAGGGGCTACAGACAGCAAGGAAAGTTTATGATAATTATGCTTGCAGTAGTGGTATTGAGCGTGGGTGGAGAGCTTTTTAAAATTCAGCTGCACTAGCGACGAGCATACGTCACCATTGCTCCACTGCAGAGAAAATGATAGGTTCGAGGACGTCTGTGGGAGGCTGTGAAAAAATTCCAGACGCTTCTGTCTCTAAAATTCAGGTTTTGAGAGCGAGCGCTTGTGCGTTTGTATAGCGTGTGTGTGAGAGAACGACGGAGACAGAGAATGCAACAAGATTGAATGGGGGAGAGAGGGACAGTGACAAGAGTGTGTATTAGTTGCGTAACCTAAGCTGTATAAGCCCTAATTAAAATGTTTGACATCCAAGCTGCTCACTGCTAATTTTCTTGTTCCCTTTGACAGAAAATAAAACAGTACCAGGGATCAGTGTTTGTTTGCTGTGTGTTTATGTTTTGTATCTGCAAGTCTACTGTATGTGCATGGGGGCATGAATAGGCGGGAGACTTGACTTTTTGAGTTTCGTGTCATGTAATCATCACAGCCGCCCCTGCCAGCTAACATACTACTGGCCATGTGATGCCACAGGGAGTAATTCACTGTGCAGAAAAGATGAGGTTTGCACACTTGGCAGCAGAGAATGAAACAAGTGCGTGCAGGAAAGGTCAGCCTGGAATTCACTAACTGGGCATGAGCAGGGAAACACGGAGGCAACATACTGGTTTGCAGAAGATGACAAAATGACCACTAAGAAGACGTAGGAGGAAGCTGTAGAGAGATGCACATTTTTTGTTGTTTTTTGTTGTTTTGGGATTTTTTTACAGGCAGATCTGTGTGGGCTGGTGGCTCCCAGTCCTCCTCCTCTCCACATTAGTTTGCAAACCCCCGCTTACTTCTGGTATCATCTTTTCATACTTGCCTTCGAACTCGCTTTTATCTAATAGCTTTGATGTGCTATTGCACATATTGTGTAATCTTTATTGAAATGTGCAAGCAGCAGCAATATAAGCATTATTTGGAGTGTTATTACATAAAGACGATCCTCAATGATCTTTTTTGCGAAGCTGATAAGAGATATGCTCGCTTTTAGTGAATTAATCCACTCAAAATAGCGAGCCGCGATGGCTAGGATGTGCAATAATTCGCTGACATCTCTGTGAGCTAAACTGTTGCTTAATAAAAAAGAGGTCAGAGGTAGGGCACGGTTTGTGAGAAGCAATTTAAACAGAAAGAAATCCTTTTAATCAAGCTGTGTGGTCTTTTTTTTAAACTTGGAGTTGGACTATATTTGGATCATCACTGGATCATCTTTTCCCTCAGTTTTTTTTTTCTTTTTCTACTAGCAGCAAAATGTAATTTGTCATGCACCATCTGGCTTTCAGCTTCATTCTTGTATCTCACTGGCATCCTGTTGCAGCAACCCTGCAGTTGGAAAAATAAATGGAGCAGCCAATCGCAGCTGTCATCTTGCTAAAGCACAGTAAAACAACTCGAAACTATTAGGAGACTTTTACTTTAGTTCCGATTGCAATATAACTGTTTTCTTTATCTTTCCATCTTCACAAGCTAGTAATTGTGCAAAATACGTAAGTGGGCCATATTTCTTTCTGCTGCATTACCACAGAATCTACAGTATATTGTCTGATTCTGTCGAGTCTTTTCACTCCTTTTCAAGGTTTTTCTTCCTGTGCTGTTCCAAAAAGAGGGCCAAGAATAGCGACACATTCGGGCACAAGCTCCCATGTAATTTCCCACGCCTTTTGTCTCCGTTCCTGTGCCGCCCATGCATGCTGAAACAATAAGCTGGGAGCTTCGTTATGAAGCTGACAACAGCGCCTTTAAAAAACATAATTAATTTAATAAAAAACCAACAACAACCAAGAAGTCAGGAGGGATACAGTCATACCTACAAGTGACCCGTCCTCATGCACGCCTGTGGAGCAGCTAATAGGGGCATTTATTTGTTTTGAATTGAGTTCATGAACCCCAGGTTTGCAAAATAAAAGCTGCATGTGAATAGATTCGGTGCTGCTGGCTTACAGCATACAGTTACGCAATTTGTTTTCAACAGATAACGGCTCCAGAATTCTGACGCACCGTCGATTTCTGCATTCAGTGTGGGATTAATTGTTGTTATGTTCGCCTAACTAGCATATCTGTGACTGATGAGAATCTCATATCTTCAGCCTGTGGAAAAGCCATGGGAGACAAACTTCTACAGGTGACTGAAAATTAATTCCCACTCCAGCGGCTCCAGTTTAATGGCACTCAGTCGAGTGAACGCCATTGTAACATGCTTACTAACATCCATCAAAGGCAGATTGTGGGTTTTCCAGAAAACATTCACTTACAATATCTACATATAAAAAAAACTCCACCAAACTGACAGATAACGACTCCCATTCTGCAACTTCCACAGGCCCAGCGTCTCTCCAAGGCATCAAAAGTGGCACTTTAGCATGAAATTGAATAACCTGAAAGTCATTTACAGTAAACGTTTTGAACCTCTATCAGAAATGACAGACATTCAGTATTCCGGAGGAGAACGCGTCCTCACCCAGACAGCCAGACACAGAGGCTTAGTTCCAGCTCAGCTGCTATCTACAGGGGCTGAATGACAAAGAAGTTGAGGACACCAGTGAAAACATCTGTATCGTACTTGGTGAAGTTTCGTGACAGCTCTATTAGTGCAAGTCAATATGGAGCTGTGCATCTCCTTGTGACATTTTTAGGTCCCCTTAACATAATGGCATATCATCCTGTCCCCGACAGGTACACTGAAGGAGGAAACACTTCGCTGTGCTATTTGCTTCTGTCCAGCATGGTGTGGGCACGAGCAGCAGGCCGAAATGAATCACAAAACCTGACCTGATTAGACTTGACATGGAGACACTGAGTAATGGTGCCCAAACAGTGTTTCCTGCAATTTGGCTCTCCAAAAAAACTGAGGCCTGCTGGAGGGCTTTTGTTACAATGTAAGCCAAATCTGAAAATGGCAGGAGAGTAATGGACTAGCTAGGACACGCACAACGGCTTTGCTTAATCACGGAAACAACGGTAATATGTCGCACACACATAAGCTCAGCACTTTCCCCCCCGTTTGTCAACTTCTGACGGTTCTCATGACCGCAGAGAGCTCGATGCGAAGCTTCTGTGCCTCCATCTGATATTTTACCGCAGCGCCTTTGTCGGGTATTGACACACGGTAGCACGTAAAAGCTCGAACGAGAGACCTTTTAAAAATCACCGTCAAATCAGCAAAACAGAAAGTGCACAGAAGCAGCACTGATCAGTTTTTTTATTACTTTGATTTTTTTGGGGGGGGGATTTTCTTTTTAAGAGGGGCAAAAGGCTTGTGAGATATCATGTGAACAGACCTGCGGGCAAAATATAAAATGTACTTGGAATTTATATTAACTGATCACACTTCTTCGGGCTTACATCCAAACCACAGATTGGATTCTTTAAAATGCTGACAAGTGGTCTTTATTAGACATGGGGGACTTCTCTCTTCTGGATGTGTCACAATCTAGTCAGTTTAATGGAGGAACATACTGTAGCTGCTGTACCAGAGAGATTAATTTAATAACTTCTGCACTTTTGTGGAGAGTGTCCAGGCAGACAGCTGCCACAGAAGTACAGTTGAGGCCTTGAAGCAAACATCCATGGGAATGATGCAGTCATCATCTCTCCGCTTTCACTGCTGAGACGTCAACATCGTGTTCTTCGCCGAGCCAGACTGCTACTGACGTTAGGCGTAGCCTGCCCTAATATCAGTAACTGAGCCATTTGCTGAAAATTTTAGCGTCCTCTCACCTGTAACAAATTATTAAAAGCCAAGAAAATTGCATCTAAATTGCAATAAATGGCCATTTAATGAGCAAGAGTGAACAATGTTGCACTTGAGATGCCGAACTACCCCGTTTTAAACATTTCATTTTCCAGAGTCCTCTTGAATCCATTTAACAGAAAGCACCTTGTATGCAGAGCATGTACAGTGTGCATTATTATTCAACACTATGGCCTCATTGAGATTTGAAGTGTCATAACCTCCTACACCTCCAATCCATGCTAACTTTTCAGCAATTGATTTTTTTTTCCTTGCCACTAAGGTTTAATGTGTTTCGATATGATAAACACACTGCCACACATACACACTCCACACGCACGCCACATCTTCCTTTGTGTACTCCAAAGTGAAATAAGCAGGCTAATGAGCTGTGAATTTTAGGTTTAGGCTACAGGAACACAATCCTCAGCAGCAGAAATGACACAAGAATGTGATCTCCTTCTGGTTCTTCTCCACCTCCTCCTCCTCCTCCTCTCTCCTTCTGCATCTCTTCATCCTTAACTCAGTCCTATCCGCCCACAATCCTCCATCCCCCTCTTGTGCTTGCTGAACACTGCATCAGCAGAGTCCCTAGCAGAAGGGAGACCTGTTCTTTAACTGGACCATTACAAATACCTGCTACCTCAAACCCTCCAAGATGCATCAGCCTCATCCGCACTTCTGGGAAGATGCAGCTCTTTAATGCGATTCTCTGTTATGCAATCCTGCGTGATAAATAACTGCAGACACTCTGAGATTAATGAAATTCAGGGGAAGCCCCCCCACACCACCCCACACACACACAGCCTGATCTCCAGTACTAGCAGAAGATGACGGCTCTGCTATTTTTACTCAGGCATCTCCATAGGTAGTTTCTGAGGTCACATGGCGGCCCACCCCTAGGAGAAGCACACTGCTGCAGTGCACTATTTCTGGGCTCCCAGCAGGAAGAATCAGGTATGA